GCCAGCAACCTGAGCATGTGCCCTGACTGGGAATCAAACCTTGATCTCCTGGATCCCAGTTGATGCTCAACCACTGAGCCATGCTGGCTGAGCTGGATTTTTCTTAGTTATCAGTATCCTTTGCTATAAAGGAAGAAAAGGAAAGGGGCATGACACGATCTATAGTTAATATTTAGTAAAGCAGGTTAGGAAGTATTCTAATCCTTTAGGTCTCTACTCTAACATACAGCAGTATGGATGTTATAGGCTAGGAAATGGAGTTTTTATATTTTAAACAACTCTGCTGGAAGTTTGGCAATTCCTAAATTATACCAAAGCATTGGGGTGACAGATTTTCGTTGATGATTAATACAAACAACTCTAGAGTATCTCAGTGAATTGGGGGAACTGAGGTACATAGATACTCAGTGACTTTCACAAGCTTCCACACAGCTGAACCAAGGACTTTCTAAACATAAGTATTTTATGCTACCTCTCTAAACTCAGAATTCTTCATTAATTCCACAAACATTTATTGAGCACTTACTATATTCCAGGCAGTATGTTAAGCTCTGGGGATACAGCAGTAAATCAGATAGACATGGTTCCTTCTGCCCTCATGGAATTTCCGGTATATATTTTGACACATTCTTGAAGTACCCACAAACAAGATTAGCTCCTTGAAGGAGATACACATCAAGGAAGGAACTTCTATAACCAAAGGCATTCTCTGTGAATCTCCTAAGACTGTATTTTTCTGAGATAAGAGCTCTTTCTGCCTCCTGCACTGTTTGCTCAGAAGCCTGTTTCATCAGGTAGATGCTGTCCTATATCTTTATAAGTGCTCCTCTTGTCTTAGTGACCCCTCAATGCTAGTTTTGAGATCCACTCTTTTTAAAAATTTCATTGTGTATGTTTATGTGATTAATTAAAATATTACAGTATATGTTCATGGCAAATTTAGAAAATAGGGAAACATAGAGAAAAGGATTTTAAAAACTGACATAGTCCTTATTATGAAAATATATATTTTAGTTTATTTCTTTCCATTTTCTTTCTGTGCTTGCTATTTGTTTACATAGCTGTATTCATACATGAGTGCTCTTAACTGGGGCCCTCAAGTCTCACCTATTATCTCTCTGGACCTCTGCATCAGAATATAAGCTTCACCAACATTAACTGAATGCCTATTTTTGTTTCTTTTTTTTTTCTTCTTACAGTTGTGCTAATGGTTTTTTCCCTGATATCTGTCACCTATGGGGCTACCCTCTGCAATATGTTGGCTATCCAGATCAAGTATGATGAATACAAGATTCGCCTCGGTCCACTAGAAGTTCTCTGCATCACCATCTGGAGGACATTGGAAATCACTTCCCGCCTCCTGATTCTGGTGCTCTTCTCAGCCACTTTGAAATTGAAAGCTGTGCCCTTCTTATTGCTCAACTTCCTGATTATCCTCTTTGAGCCTTGGGTTAAATTCTGGAGGAGTGGTGCCCAGATGCCCAATAACATTGAAAAAAATTTCAGCCAGGTTGGCACCCTGGTGGTGCTGATTTCCATTACAGTCCTCTATGCTGGCATCAACTTCTCTTGCTGGTCAGCTTTGCAGTTGAAGTTGGCAGACAGGGACCTTGTTGAAAAGGGTCAGAACTGGGGACATATGGGCCTGCACTATAGTGTGAGATTGGTAGAGAATGTGATCATGGTCCTGGTTTTTAAGTTCTTTGGAGTGAAAGTGTTACTGAATTATTGTCATTCCTTGATTGCCTTGCAGCTCATTATTGCTTACCTGATTTCTATTGGCTTTATGCTCCTTTTCTTCCAGTACTTGCATCCATTGCGCTCACTCTTCACCCACAACATCGTGGACTACCTCCATTGTGTCTGTTGCCACCGGAACCCTCGGGGCAGGCTTGAGAACTTGGAGTCACCATTTGATACTGAAACAACACAAAGTGTTGTCTGATTCTATCTCCTGGGTATTTTTGGATGGATTTGGGTGGCCAAGAGCAACTGTGAAATTTAAGCAGAGGATGAGGCTCATGAATGATGAGTACCCACTGGGACTTTTTTTTTTTTTTTTTTTTAAGTTTTCTGGTAAGCCTTTCAGAAGAAAGAGCAGCCCCCAAATAGGTTTCATTTTCTTAAAATTGACTGCTATGTTTGCACACCAGGATAGCCACCATATATTCAGAAGGGTCAGAGATAGCATTTATACTCCTCCCATCCAGGTCAGCTGTCTCGCCTCCCAATGGGATAACCTACCTCCATGCACTTCAGGCATTCTTTGACCTTCTAGTTCTGCTCATTTGCTTGAGGTGCATTACTGAGCTTTCCCCAGGCTGAACTAAAAGACCAGAATCCAGCCAGAATATATCCTGACTGATCAGAGGATGTGACTACTTACTAGCTATGGTTACCCTTCAGGAAACATTCTGACTAAGGTGGAACATTTAACTGTAAGTGTGGCTGGGGTCTTTAGTTCGAATGAGAAACTCTGGTTAAGAAGAAAAACCCCACTATTAAAAGTTCTGCTCTCCAAATGAGTTAGCTCTCCATTAAGGTTTTACTAGTGATCATTCATCAAGGACCTCTCTTTTCAGTGGTCCATTATAGGCACACTCTGAGGAGGGAGTGGAGAGTAAGATTCCTTCAGGGCATATGCCAGAATGACTTTTTTCCTCAGGGACCTGCATGGACCTGCAGCTTGTACAATGGAATGGTTAAGTAAAATCTCTCTCTTTGTGGCTCATTATCAGGGATTCCCTTCAACCCAGCTTTTCTGTGTTTTTGCTACTTGATATGAACCTCAGAGAAGGTGAACTGTAATTAAAAATGTTTCTAATGTGTGGAAGAAGTGAAGATTTCATTGTGTCTTTTACTGTCTTGAGTATTTTGTTGATTTGTTTTTTTAAGGGAGAGAGAATGTAATAACTGGGATATCACCTTTATGTTTTTTTGGGTTGAGATGGTGGCTAACACTCCAAGGTAGAGTGAAGGCAGAGGAGGGAAACAAGATCACAGTAAATCATGTGACATGGGATATTATTTTCTAATTAGGAGCATATGTTTATCATTCCCATACCCCTAATGGATGAATGCAAGTCTCCCTTTCTCATGTATCTCAATGTCTACATCTCAAATCATTTGAGTATTTTGATGGGAATATCACCTGGATGCCTCTAAGGTAATGAAGGAATCAAGGTTAGTATATCCATTACCTATTGGGACCGAGAATCCCACCATTTACCTAACTAATGCTTGCCTCTCACAGACCAAGAAGGTGAGAAGAACTCACTAGTAACATGTACTACTACCACAGTTGCTGTGAGAAGTTCTGAATAGCCCAAGCTAAGACTTCTCATTCCCATCCAATTTTACTCTTGGGATCATGCTTTAGCCATTTCCCTTCCTCTTATTCAGTGTCAGGACATGTTGCAGGGGCTCCCCCTTCTAAGTAAGTAACAGGCTGTTTAGCCAGAATTGTCCTGTTTCCTGGCGTATCTAGTGTGGTTTTCCCCTCTTCAACCACTGTTGGGGGCTAAAAGGATTGGATAGTACTTAATTTGGGGGAGACTAAAGTGACTTGCTTTGGAGCATGGAGATTTCCTTTTTCAATCCATCTCCCTCATTCCATCCTTCATGATGAAGAAGAGATTTAGGTGGTCATAAAAAGCTCACATTGCTGTCTTCTATGTTATTCAAGGTGAATTTGAAAGAAATAATCTATCAGACGTCCAAAAGAACATGCTGCCTCTTTAGAATTCAAACAAGAATCTCTACCCAGTGGTTAATATGCCCTCCATTAAAAGCAGAAGTAGTGTGGAACTATAATTTGGTCCATAAAAGCCATGTGAATCAGCTACTTAAAGGGTGGGTGCTATGGGAACATAGAGAGACACGCTAAGCTAGGCAGGCCAATTAGAGCTAGAGTGGAGATACACAGGGTGGAAAAGCATGTCTTGGTACTGAACCAAGCCTCTTTCCCCAGTGTATCTTCCCCAGCCTTAGTGACTTAATATCCAGGGAATGCAGGAAGTTTAGGGTGAAGGGTGTGGAGCAACTTCTGACCTGAAAAACCTGCTGCCCTTACCCAAGGAGAAAAGACTCTAGTGATATATTATGCAAATGAAGCCTCAGAACCTCCTATAAGTGGTGGCCTCTCTATTCTGCAGCAGTCTTCTAGATACACAGGAGAAGATGGAATTGTGGAATATGATTGTGGGGGCAGGAGAAGCACCCCCTTTCACCTACAAACCCTTCTTTAATTTACTACTCTCTTTTTACCCTTTGAAATCTTAAAGCAACACAGGGTACTAATGTAGGGGCAAGTCTGACTGAGTGGGAGAGAAGGCAGAGATTGGGCCAGAAAATTGGTCTTGGAAGAGGAAGGCAGAACCATGAAGATAGGCCATTGTAACAACAGCTTCTCTCATATTGGAAATTTGGTGGGCTAAGTATGGGCAAGTGAATATGGTAAAGAAATGTATTATATAAACCAGTAATTTTCACCAGTGCTGCAAGAATTTTTAAAACATGCAATACCTGACTATTTAGTCAGGGCCACTAACCTCTTTTCCCTTAGATTGTCAAATAAAAAAATGACAACAGCCAACACAACAATAGTCATCCATTGTGAATGAGTAAAAATTATGCCTATTTTTTTTTTTTTGTCGGATTGACAAAAAATATATTTTTGGTGTGCCACAGATTTTATTAATTAGTTTGTGTGCCATAAGATAAAAAAGGTTAAAAATCACTGATATATACTAATTGTTGTCAATTTTATTTCTCCACAAATGCTTTAAAGACTATGGGCATAAAACTGTGAGGCACTGTAGGAAAATTAAATAATAGCTAATATTAATGAGCACTCACTATATATCTAGCATTGTGCTTTATGTGCATTATTTCATTCAATCCTCAGAACAAATGAAGGTTTGAAGGCATAGAAAAGTGAAGCGAACTGCCCAAGATTACAGCTAGTGTCAGAGCCAGGATTTAGAATTAGACACTAAGGCTCCAGAGCTTACACTCTTAATCATGATACAAGCCTCTAAATCCTCTTAGGTCCTTTGTGAGATTATTTTAATATATTAGTGATTTCAGGAATATTTTCTGGGCTATGGCTAGATTCATATCAAACATTCTTTCTCATAAACATACCTTATCAAGGGGCACCACTCTAAAGAGAGTCAAGTCCTAAAAGGCCTGGGATGAAAACTGAGTGTGTGTTCACATGTACTTATAGGTTGGTATGGGAGTGGGGATAGGGTGGAAGAGAATGGTAAAGGGACCCATTTCCTTTCTAGTTTCAGGATTTTGCTTCCTGTGTGTTCTTAAACACACATTTTCCAGACCTTGGTTGTGGGAATTAAAATGGTGGGAGCAATTTTCACTTCGATTTGTATGAATTCTTCCTCCAGAAACAACCTATTAGAGCAGGGCAGTGCTGAAGCCCATTCTTTTAAACTTCCTCTTGCCAACACTGCCCTTACTCTCACTGAGAGGCTGACTTCTAGTTCTTAGAGCAGGCCATAGAATGTGGATGTTAGAGAAGAATACCACCTGCCCCCCCTCCCCAGCTTTTACAATCTTGAGAGCCTAGGTCAACCTTCAGTGCTCTTTCAGCTAGCCCCCTCAAGTCTGCACCTCACAAGGTCATGATCCTTAGCATTACAGACTTGATAGCTATTTCACAGTGTGGAGGTGGAGTGAGCAGCTATAGGGTAGGGTATTCACCAGGACATTCCATTTAAACCCTTGGGGCTCTATCTCTGAGAAGTCCTTTATCACAAAATCAGTGGAACCTCCAAAATATTTACCTACTTCAAAGTGGTAATCCTTGTTCTCTGAAGCTTTTGCTATTGGGCTTTATTACTATCTTCAGGGGAAACATATGCCCATAATCTTATGTCATTGCACACACTTTAGACCTCAGAGCCTCTGGGGTTCTCAGTGAAAGTTACCTCAGGAGCCTTGGCAATAAAACATATAGCATGTGAAACTGGGAAGTAGCAAGACCAACCTGAATGAGAGATAAGAACTAGGTGTGAAAACACATTTCTGTGTATGGAAGGGATGTCTGAATAGCACTGCGTAATATTAAAGGGCACATTTACATACATTAGCTCTGTGCTCTTGTATCATTGTTAGGACAAATCTTCTGAGTTGTACACATGGATTTACATTGTTCTAACCTTCAGTTCATCAAACAATTACTAAATTCTTATTTTATGACAGGGAAATCTATCTGGATATCTAAAAATGCTTTATAGAGGCTCAAAGACTCAAAGGAAATCCCAAATATCGAGTATAAGTCATTTTGGAGATAAGGAGGCACTCTAATGCATTACTGGTATAAGGGTAAAGTATTAGCACAATTTTTTGGAAAGCAATTTGTCAATATTTGTCAAAATTAAATAGACATGCTTTTTGTCTCAGGATTTTAACCTCTAATAATTTTTCTTATGGAAACATAGTCACAGTTGTGCAAAGAGATATGCATAGGAATGTCCGTTGCAGCACTTTGTAATGGTGAGAAATTGGCACCAACTTAAATTTCCATCTATAGGGAAATAATTAAATTCTGGAAATTCTAAAATTAGAATACCTTTTAGCCATTAAGAAGAATGGGGTAGATGTATACAGCATTATTAAGTGAAAAGGCAGATGGGAAAAGCTTTGATTTTAACTTAGCAATATTGTTTTAGCATTTCTTTGTTTTTTAACTTACTATAAAATGCCAGTTCTCATATCCTCTTTTGAGTTAATTTTGCCACCATGCTGGTTTCCTCCTTCATGAGTTAAAATTAAACTTTGACATATGCTCACTCTATTTGTACGAAACTTAAAAAAGCACGTTGAGAATCTACTTTAACAATGATCCCACATTTGTAAAAACAAAACAAAAACAATATAATGTGGAGGGAGTAGGCAAAAATTGCTCCAAACTCTTTACAGCAGTTCTCTGGTTGGGGAAGTGGAGGAGGTTATTGGGGATATTTTCTGTGTTAAATAGTTTACAATATTTGAATTTTGTATAATGTTACATGATATTTATAATCAGAAAAATACATTACTTCAAAAAGTAAATATATGTAAATGAAATAAGCCAGTCAAAAAATACAAATACCATATGATTTCACTCATATGAGGAATCTAATGAACAAAATATAAACAGATTCATAGATAAAAAGAACAGTCTGACAGCTGTCAGAGTGGATGGGAGTTGGGTGGAAAAAGAATCCAAGAAAATGAGGATAGTTTAAGGCACCTCTGGGATAACATCAAACATAACAACATTTGTATCATTGGGGTACCAGAGGAGAAGAGAGTGCAAGAAATTGAAAACCTATTTAAAGAAATAATGACTGAAAACTTTCCTAACCTGTGGAGGAAATAGACATACAAGTCCAGGAAGTGCAGAGAGTCCCAAACAAGATGAGCCTAAAGAGGCCCACACCAAGACACACCATAATTAAAATGCAACAGGTGAATCTGAAAAGCGGCAAAAGAAAAGCAGTTAGTTACATACAAGGANCAGCAAGAAAAAAGCAGTTAGTTACCTTCAAGGGAGCTCCCATAAGACTGTCAGCTGATTTCTCAACAGAAACATTTCAGGCCAGAAGGGACTGGCAAGAAATATTCAAAGTGATGAAAAGCAAGGACCTGCAACCAAGATTATTCCACCTAGCAAAGCTATCATTTAGAATTGAAAGAGAGATAGTTTCCCCGGAGTACTATGCAGCTGTAAAAAAGAAGGATCTCTTACCCTTTGAAACAACATGGAGGGACCTGGCGAGTATTATGCTAAGCAAAATAAGTCAGTCAGAGAAAGAGAAATATCACATGATCTCACTTACATGTGGAATCT